AAAATGGAGTCGTGGGATTTCAGACCCGCTCACGGCCACGTAACAACACGTCCCTGACAAAAGTCACGCGCCACGGCTGGGAGATTTCCCCTCCACGCCGGCGGGGCCAAAGGAAACATTTTGCACCGGGGACGAGGATGACCCCCCTCCAACGCACACATTGGTGTGTGAATTTATGCCCTTCTGCCTCCCAGGGGAACAAAGGGCTCCGAGCTCGGTTCTCTACCGCAGACTTACCCTGCGTCCCGTCCTTGTGTCAGACACGGCTTTCTTTCCTTCCCGTCACTCATTGCTCGGGGGTGGGCTGGGGCTGAGGGGCCCAGGGGTGAGGGGACCACCCCAGCCCTCGCTCACTGCAAGCATCTGGGGGCCAGGCGAGAAGCTGGGGAGGGGTGCAGCCAGGACAGACGGACACACAGAGGGTGTGTCTACACTACAGGGTTTTGTTGACAAAAGTGGACATTTGTGGACAAAACTATCCCTGCGTCTACACTGCCGCCGCGTTCTGTCGACATCACGTCCACAACGCGGCAGTTCTGTGGACGGCGGTACACCGCGCTCTACGAGGAATGACGCCAGAGCCCTGTCGCCAGACGGCGTCATTGCATCTACGCCGTCCTTTGCGTCTACACGCTCACGCCGACAAAGCGGCTGCTGTGTCCACAGAACTGGATGTCGTCTGGCTGAAGCAAAAGACAGGACCATGCAGCACGTTAGAGACTCCCAAGATGGTTTCTTCGGTGATGAGCTTTCGTGGGCCAGACCCACGTCCTCAGATCATACGGCTGGCGAACCAAGACGGCGGCGCGGGCCGCGGGCCCCAGCCGCCCCCCCTGCCGCTGCCTGGGCTTCCCAGCTCTGCTCCTGGCCTCCAGAGCTATGTGGTCCTGCCTCCGCCACTGCGCCCCGAGCAGGTCTGCTGATGGCATCACCTCCCCGACGTTGCCTCTAGCACCCCGGGACCGACACAGCTACGACACGTGGCCGAGAAACACCGAGCAAGGGCCACGGGCCGGACGCTCAACCCGGACACGCGGAGCTGAGCAGCACGGCTGGGCCAGAGCAGAGCAGGCAGTCACTCCGCACACAAGACATTTCCGGTCAAGGAAACCACGGGCGAAGTCAGGCGGGTTCCAGAGATTGGCCAAAAAATAGAACGATAAAAAAATATGGAAACATTTTGTTCCAAGACTTTTGAAATGTAGTTCCCGCTTTTTTTCCCTTTCCAAATAATATTTGCCCCCCAAATCAGCTACATCTACCCCCTTTAGGTCAACCCAGACGGAATGTCTTTCTAAATGTTGTCAATTTTTAATGTAAGAATAACCCAACCATTCCTGGTTTGGCAAACCACCAGAGAGGCTCCGTCTCTTGAGGGCCTCCGGACACCGCTGGAGGGCCCTCGGCAGGGCACGGTTTGATCTGACACAAAGGACTAGGCTCAATGCTCACCGAACGGGGTGGAATCCCAGTACCATTTTGTGCTCAAGGGCAGGCTTAGAATCATAGAAGCTGAGGCTTGGCAGAGACCTTGGGAGTCCTCGAGTTCAACCTCCTGCCCAAGGCAGGACCAACTCCACTCAATCATCCCAGCCAGGCTTGGTCAAGCCGGGACTTGAACACCTCTAGGGATGGAGATTCCACCCCTCCCTAGGGAACCCAGCCCAGCGCTTCCCACCCGCCTAGGGAAATAGTTTTTCCTAATATCCCACCTAGCCCTCCCCCACTGCAACCTGAGCCCATTGCTGCTTGATGATCTAAAAGTCTGTTCTGGCCTATGCATCCAGATATGGGGCGAAACATTCACACCAATGTGCCGCTCAGGACCCACTGGGATGCCTGGCACGAACTCAATGACCAACCAAGATCTCTTCACGTCATGGGTGGGGATTGTCACGCGTGCCTGGCGCACGTGGAAAACGCCCTCGTGCAAACGTCCTTCAGCGCTTGTTTGACCTGTGCGTTCCGGAGGGCGTAGATGTAGGGGTTGAAGAGCTGGGCCACCACGGAGAAGAAAAAGGCCACAAATTTGTCGAATTCTTCTGCGCCCCGCTGGCTTCGTCGGACGTAGCGGAAGATGGAGCTACTGTACAGGATGACCACCACCAGGAGGTGAGCGGAGCAGGTGGAAAAGGCCTTTTTGCGGCCCGACGCGGAAGGGATGCGCAGGATCGTGGTGATGATGCAGCCGTAGGAAACGATGGTGACGATGAAATTTCCAAGAATGAGAACGGAAGTGGAGACCAAGAGCATGACCTCGATGTGCGCCGTGTCCGCGCAGGCCAGCTGGAGCAGGGCGGCCGTGTCGCAGTAGAAGTGGTCTATGACGTTGGGGCCACAGAACGGCACCAGCACGGCCATGAACGCTGGGGGGAACATTATACAAAAACTGGTCACCCAGCAGCCCAGCACCAACTGGGAGCAGACCCTGCCGTTCATGATGGTGCCGTAACGCAAGGGGCGGCAGATGGCCACGTAGCGGTCGAAGGACATCATCCCCACATGGAAAAATATGCAGGCGCCCAGGAGAAAGAAGAGCAAGAGCTGAAGGAAACAGCCGGGGACAGAAATAGATTTTCTCTCCGTCAGGAGGCTGTAGAGGAACCGGGGCAGGATGACGAAGCTGAAGCAGATTTCCAAGAGGGAGAAGTTGCGGAGGAAGAAATACATGGGCGTTTGCAGGCGATGGTCCACCAAGGAGAGGGTGACCACGGCGACGTTCCCCACCACCGTGAAGAAGAAGACGAGCGATAGCACCACGAAGAGGATGGCGTTGACGTGGTGGTTGCTGGAGAGTCCGAAGATGATGAATTCCACCACCGGGGTCTGGTTCTTCATTCTTCACTCACCTTTAAAGACAAAATAAGCCACGTCAAAACCAGCCTCCGATAGGCCGGAAAGGGCCGAACGCTGGCAGGAGCGTGCTGCACGTCAGTCAACCCATGCTTTCCACAGACTTAAAGTGCCCCACACACACTGGGAACGTGAACGGAGCCCGACAGAACATCTAGGGACCAGCCCCGGACTCTTCAGAAAGATCCAGGCTGGGTTTTAACATTTCCAGGGATGGAAAATCTACCACGAGTCTTGGAACGTGGCGCCAAAGGTTGAGTCGCTCAGGGGAAAGCTTTGTCTTTGGTCTCTCTCCGGTCACTGAGCGAAATAGAAAAACACGGGACAAAGAACAGACCCCCCCTAAAAACGCCCATGTCCCATGGTAACGCCCCACATTTTTAGGGAGACAAGTCTGAATCTCCCGCAGGCGCCATGTTAATGGTGCAGCGTTCCCGAGTCTGAATCACGTCAGCCATCTCTTGTCTTTCAGAGGATCAGAAGGCGAGACGGGGTCAGGCCAAAGGCCCGTCTGGCCCAGGGTCCTGTCTGCCCACGGCAGCCAGTGCCAAAGGGAGGGAACACAACAGGGAGTCACCACACGATCCCTCCCCTGTCGCCCGCCAAACAGGCGCCAGGGACACCTTCCCTACCCGCCCTGGCTATGGCCTCCGGGAATGGATCCAGCCCTGTTCAAGTCCTGGCCTTCGCGACTTTAAACAAGTGGGAAAAGGCTGTGTCGGAGGGTGGACACTGCAGACCTCTCGGGGACGCTTCCTGGGGGCTGCCACTCGCGTGCCCCCCCGAGGCAGCAATGATTGACACTGGGCGTGACAGACAACCCAGGGGATTTTCTGACGCACAAGCGGTAGGATGTCCGTGGCTGTAGGCGAGCCCAGGCAGAGCAGAGGAGGTGGCAAACGCACACACCCGGGAACACTGACCCCTCCGCACACACCCGGCACAGTCACTACACTCGCCCCCAACGGCTTCTTGTCCCACTCAGCCTTCCAGCCAGGGCAGTGCCCTTTCCCGGGGCCGTGGGTTCGATGCCCGGATGGACACTGCCTCTGTGCTCTCTGACTGGCGGCCGGCACGTAGCTCTTTAAAGACCAACAACAGAGTTTATTCGGGGACGAGCTTTCGTCTGAAGAAGCGGGTAAGCTCAGCCCCTAACAGCAGCTGAGAGATTTGCCATGCACCCGAACCTCAGAATAAGGCTGTGAAATCAGCGATCAGAGAATGAGATTCGCAGCTGTTGAGCAAGGACCGCTTTGCTCGGTTACATCTCTGTGTATTTCTGCATATTGTAGCGCACGGAAATATAAGAGCATAAGAACCTAAGAGCGGCCAGATGGGGTCAGCCCAAAGGTTCATCCGGCCCGGCTCCCTGGCTGCCAGCAGGGGCCCCGAGGGAGGGAACGGGGGTGACATCAGGCGACGTTAGGGTGGCAAGACTTCAGCTGTGAACCCTCTGCCCTGCTCCCGGTCTCGCCTGTGCCCCCTTCCCGAAGTCAGGCCCCCGTCGCAGGGCGGGGCTCTCTCCGCAGCGCCTGGAGGTGTCCTGCCACCGAAAAGAGCACCCCTGTGTTTCCAAGGCCCGGGAGAGCTCCTGTCTCCCCAAAAACCTCTGCTTCTGCCTGCCCGCAGAGCCAGCCCCACGACCCGCCGGTTACACACTGGGCAGGGCTCCCCTACCTCAGCCCTGGCTTCGTTCCCTTCCCACCCCCCTCGTGCGGGGCCGGGCCGGACTCTTCCGAGCCGTCGTGGGCCGACGTGATGGACGGGGCCGGAGCGAGACGGCTCTGCCACGCTGGAAAGGCCCCAGAGCATTCCCAAGCAGCCGTGCTCTGGCGCGTGGTTCTGATAAGCAGAAAGGACAGGCCCAGTCACAGAACCGTTGACGACGCACGACGTTTAACGGCCACCCTGGGTAGGGGACGTGCCCCAGCTCGGGGCACCGGGCATGTCCGCATCCAGCACGGCACGGCCTCCGTCGGGAGACGGTATTAGAACGACCAAGGCCCCTTGTGCTAAGAACAATCGATGGGAGGGAAATCGGAGAACCCCAGGGTGGGCACAGACCTAGGAGCATCGAGTCCAGCCCCCTGCCCAAGGCAGGACCAACCCAACTCAATCAACCCGGCCAGGGCTGTGTCCAGCTGGGACTTAAACACCCCTAGGGATGGAGACTCCACCCCTCCCTGGGGAACCCAGCCCAGCGCTTCCCCCCCGCCTAGGGACAGAGTTTGTCCTAATGTCCAGCCTAGACCCCCCCCACTGCCACTTGAGCCCATTGCTCCTTGTTCTGCCATGGTCACTACTGAGAACAGCCTCTCGCCAGCCTCTTTGGACCCCCTGCAGGGAGGTGCAGGCTGCTCTCAGATCCCCCCTCACTCTGCTCTTCTGCAGACTGAACAGACCCAACTCCCTCAGCCTCTCCTCACAGGTCATATGCTCCAGCCCCCTAATCATTTTAGTCGCCTCCGCTGGCCCCTCTCCAATGCGTCCACGTCCTTTGTGTAGTGGGGGGCCCAGAACTGGACACAACACTCCAGATGTGGCCTCCCCAGAGCTGAATAAAGGGGAATAATGACACCTCTGGATCTGCTGGCCATGCTCCTCCTAATGCCCCCCCCCCCCCCCA